GGATCTTCTTCATGCGTTCTCTCACCCTCCTAAAGAGGGTGTTCTGAATTTCATCAGAATTCAGAGTTCATATATGCCGCATATGCCTCCATTTATAATCACCTACTTCTCTTAAAATTGAAAAGCATGTCAGCCCAAAGGCCTGTGCCTGGTGCCCTGGCAATTATTTCCTTCCCATTGGTCATGTGATTGTATCTACAGAAGACTGGAGAGCAGTAATTCCTGAAAAGTCTGCTATTCTTAAGCTGTTAGTAATGCTATGTCAGGGCTGCTACTCATCTCCAGTAAGACTGGCCTGTAGCCATGAAGGAGGTTTCTTGAGCTGCACACTGCCTGGCATTCACCAAGTAGGCTAGCTTTAGAAGGCTAGCTTTAGAAATGAGACAGACAGATTTTTCTTATCTCGTTTCTGGGTACTGGGAACAGATAAGGTAAGGAAAGCAAGCCTCCCTACTGAGCCACACCCCAGATCCTCTAAACTCTAATTTTATATGTGTTAATAGCCAAAATCTTTCATACAGTTACCCAAATAAAATGGTGACTAAATTGAAATAGAAAACATAGCAAAGTGGTTAAGAGTCCAGACTTAGAAAAAACAAACAACCAACTTCTTATAAGAGAAATCATAACACACAAAAGTGGGCCACACCAAGAATTCCACACACTCACTGCCCAGGCAGCAAGTATCGCTCGCAGCCAGTGTGTTTCAGTAGCACCCCAATACCCAGCTGCAGCAACACTGGCTTTCTCACACTCAGTGCAGGTTATTTTGAGGCTACTGCCAGACTCCATTTATAGCGATCTCAATAGGCGAGAGGGCCCAGACTTTGAGCTGGACAAACCTGGAGTCAAGCTCGGGCTCTGTTGTCACGCACCCTGGCAGTTCACTTAGCTTTTTAGAGACTGCCTTTCCTCAACAAACATGTGGCAGTAATTTCTGCTTTTCCAGATGGTACTAGACGTGAACTGAGATAAGAAGGCATCAGACGACAGACCCTGGAGCTAACACATAGAAAGTGGCAACTGCATGGTGGCTGGGGTGTGATTACCATTTCCACTAAGGCTCACACAAGACAAAATGGGCCAAAGCCTACTTGAAAGAAGCCCCCAGAGTTCAACCTCCTTGCCCTGGGAATTGGAACAGACTAAGAACTCGTACCTGATCCCATCAGAAAGCAGGAAAAAGCAACTTGTGGTAGCTGAGCAGCGAGGGCAATTGTGGAGGCAAATGATAACTTGCCATTAGAGATGTGGTTTGCCTATTAAAGGATGAAGAGGCCCCCTCTTGCAACAGCTGTCCTACTCACTGCTGGCTCCAAAACCTGAGGCAGGCGAAAGCCAGACAAGCCAAGGCTTCCTCTTTACAAGTGCAAAGTAAAACTTTCAAGTCCTGAAATCAGACTCCTCTTGTAACTAGGACTAGCGAGAAATCATGTATAGAATGTAAAGTGTCAGAAAACCTATAGGGTGTATATATATAATAGAAGGCATGTGTGCTTACCCCCCAAGGCAGTGGGGACCCAGAATGAGCTCAAAGGAGGAACTAGGTTGTTGCCCACCCACCCCATCATGTTCAGCCCTCTAGCAGAAGCAGAGTGAGAAAAACCTCACAGTGTTTATAAGAGAGAGACACGAACCCAAACACTTAGTGAAGTGCACATGTACATCAAGTCCTGGATGATGTGGCTTGTAGCTTCGAGGAGACAAAACTGAGGCACACTGGAAACTGGCTTTGTTCAACTTTTCTCTTTCCCAACTAACTGAGAACTGCTAAGGGATGTCTCCAGAAGGGTTCTGTTCACTCTTAAAAAAAAAATTCAGCCAGCAGGAGGCAGTGGCACTTCCTGAGGAGTCAGGAACAGAGGATTCAAGGGGAGTTTTGTGCCCCAAGAGGACTGAAGAGGGAGAACAACCATATGGGCAAATCCTTTGAAGCACCAAAACAGTACTTACCAGGGCGAGGACAGGTTCCCATCCTGAGGAAGTTTGGATTTAATATACAACAAAAGAGACAGATGAGCATGGCCTTTTGCAAGATAGGAAGAGGTAAGGATGCAGGAAAACTTAAAGGTGCTCAAGGCCCAGTAAAGCATCCTTGCAAAGGCTGTTGTGAAGTCAGATAAAGCAAATCCATGGCTCTCTGAAACCTCTCATCTCAGTCAGTTATCATGAACTATGTTCTCTGTAGCTTCTGACGCATTCCCATGTTGGTTCTGGAAACTCATCCATTTGAGATCAGTATTTCTTTGGGGGAAGGAGTCATTCATTACTTTCAACTATGCAAGCACTATCTGACCTTTACAATAAAAGTGTGACTGCTAGGGTTGTGTTCTGAATTTTAAGTAGACACAAATTCATTCTTGGAAAACACCAAATGCCAAGCTGGTGCTATTTCCACTTAACTTATGGAGTGTCCAAACAAATGAGATTCCTCAGTGATAATAATGGCATTCCTGTGCTAGCTGCCTGAACAAGCACAGGTCACAACCCTCACATCCAATGGCACAGGTGCAGGACAGTCCAGTCTCTGCTTCCACTCTAAACACAACCTAAGCCAGTTGCAGAACCAGCACTGGGGCTTAGACGGCTCCCATTCATTTCAACAGAGGCTCTAGTGTGTTATTTCAAGTCTGCCGCTAACAAAATACAGCTGATAAGACTTATTTTTTGTGAGTGATAATGATGAAAAGTTAAGTCTCAATTTCAGCTCTAACCTACTAAAACTGTTTGAATAATTGATTAGACTGTAAGTCAAGGCAATCAAATTTATTTTAGGTTATGCAATCACAGAACTGATTACTTTTCAAATAAAAATCCAGAGCTCCAGATTACTTCCCAGAATAAAAAAAAACAAGTAGTAGTTTATATGAATGAAAGCGAGAGTGGATGTATAAGGGAACGTGCTTGCTCCGGTTTTGCTGGCTTTCCCCAGAAGCCCTAACATAAGAGTCTCCAGGCTTAAATCTATGAACAATGCTCAGAAAATTCTGTAAGACAACAAAAAGCAAGTAATTGTGATATATAGCTCCAGCACAATTAGTCATTTAGAAGAGATTGATTCCTCAAGGTATTTTAGAGATTCAAGAAATACCTTGTATGGAAAGCAAGAAAAAAAGTAACATACCAAAAAAAGGCAGTTTATTTCCCACAGTTAAAGGAGATAGATTTCTCAATGATATTCACTCATGTATCCTAAACAACAATCCTTCAAAGTAAAATACTGCTACTCTAAACCTATCAGTGAATGAAAAGGCACTTTTAACTGTGATTCATTTTCACAATTATAATCTACTTCAAGCATGCCTCCCCTAGATAATAGAGGTCACATTGAAGACAAAAAGCTAGGTGTCCCTTGGGATAAAACACTGGAGATGGGATGTTCCCTAACAATCCAATGAAATCACCTGGGCATGGGGGATGAGCTACCCTTTTATAGATATAGAGATGAGCTTCCCTTCTCATGGACATGGGGATGGACTTCCCTTCCCATGGATATAGGAGATGGACTTCCCTTCCCATGGATATAGAAGATGGACTTCCCTTCTTATGGATATAGAAGATGGACTTCCCTTCTTATGGACATGGAGATGGACTTCCCTTTTATGGACATGGAGATGGACTTCCCTTCTTATGGATATGGGGATGGACTTCCCTTCTTATGGACATGGAGATGGACTTCCCTTTTATGGACATGGAGATGGACTTCCCTTCTTATGGATATGGGGATGGACTTCCCTTCTTATGGACATGGGGATGGATTTCCCTTCTTATGGACATGGAGATGGACTTTTCTCAAGGACATGGGGATGGACTTCCCTTCTTATGGACATGGAGATGGACTTCCCTTCTTATGGTCATGGGGATGGACTTCTCTTCTTATGGACATGGGGGTGAACTTCCCTTCTTATGGATATAGGAGATGGACTTCCCTTCTTATAGATATAGGAGATGGACTTCCCTTCTTATGGATACGAGGATGGACTTCCCTTCTTATAGATATAGGAGATGGACTTCTCTTCTTATGGACATGGGGATGGATTTCCCTTCTCACAAATATGGAGATGGATTTCCCTTCTTATGGATATGTACTTCTCTTCTTATGGATATGGGAAAGGACTTCCCTTCTTATGGATATGGGAATGGACTTCCTTTCTTATGGACATGGAGATGGACTTCCCTTCTGATACTGAACCTGAAAAATAAGTCCCACTAACATAGGAAAGACAAGACCCCCCCAGGGGCAGGACAAAAAAAAAAAAAGACCATCAAGTACTGAAAGTGACTTTTTTTTTTTTTTGAAAGTGACTTTTAAATGAATGCCAGAACTAATCTACACAAATGAATGATGCCCCCTTTCAAAGTCATTACCTGGGAAATTAATTCTTTCTAATGATGTTGGTATGGGCACTTGGGAATTTGTTTTGAGCCTGGATTTTCCCATATTCTTAGAGCCAGAAATTACTTGACTTTTCATGCTAAATTTAGCAGCAGTCAAGAGTCCTAAGAGTATTGATGCTTTTCCTTGCAAAGTCCTCGCTGCTTGCCCAAGTTGAGGTGATAAATGCCCTCCTAAACAATCACTGTACTTCTCAGTCAGAGCACCTGTGGCTCTATACTGGAACCGCTGGTTTATTTATCACGTCTCAGACAAAGCTGCAAAGCTCATTAAAGGAGAGGACTTAGTAAACTTCATTACTGGACCCACAGTCCCACCTCAGTGGCTAGAAAGTTACAGGAATCCAAGAAACACCAAACAATGCAATCTATCTTCAGTGTGACGTGATCTGGGATGCTAATGTATGTTTCCATTTACTCCCCCTCTCTTAGAAAAGGTAAGCATTACTGCGCATCTCTGTAGAGGAAACATTACTTTTTATATCCTGGGGAGTGGACTTGATTATTTTCATTACTTATGTATATATAGAAAAGAGCAAAACTCATGATTACATCTTCACATACTAAAAACTTAAAACTTCTCATGCCCATATATGCCAGCCTACCTTACCTAGTTGCAGTATCTTTACAGTGTCTCTGTAGGCTTTCATCACCAGCTTGAAATGACGATAAAGTGGATAGCACAAAACTCTCCTTCCAAAAGACACCAGGATCTCATGAACATCTGTCCAAGTCTGTGAAGAGTCATCTCAGTAAGTAATTTCCATACAATACATTACACAACAAAAGCACACACCGAAAAAGGAACAATCCCAATTAAACCCTGTAAACCTGGACCACTGGCACAAGCGAGATTCTTCTTGTACACCTCACTTTATTACAGACTTATAATTCCTCATGCTGCATCAACAAATCACAAATGTGCATTAAAACCCACATATGTAACAGGAACATTTTAGAGTCTTAATGGGGACAGGCATTCAGACTACAGACTTGTATTTGATGGCAGAGTGGGGATGGGGACAGGCTTCCTGACCTTGTAAGCAGCTCCCAGCTGAGGTGGCTGGCAATGCTGCTGGCCCACTCTTACTCTTGCTCCTATGGTACCTGTCTCAGTGATGGACTGAATCTTACCTCCTCATAGAAGGAAGTAATATATGAAGCAATCTCCACTTTACAATTTAAAGTATGCTATGCATAATCTGAACTGATGGTATGACTTTGATGTTGGACAATTTGTTCCAAACTCAGAAACATAAAAGATACTGTTCTTTAATAAATTCTATGAGAACTGCAGAAAAATTTTTAGAAAATAGAAACAAAACCAATTATCGTTACACTAAAAGAGGTCAGCACACCAGTGGGAAGGCTCCAGGGTAGAGGGGCTTGCCACCTTGTAAACCTATGTTCAATCCCTGAAACCCACATAAAAGTGGAAGGTAATGCCGGGCGGTGGTGGCGCACGCCTTTAATCCCAGCACTTGGGAGGCAGAGGCAGGCGGATCTCTGTGAGTTCGAGGCCAGCCTGGGCTACCAAGTGAGTTCTAGGAAAGGCGCAAAGCTGCACAGAGAAACCCTGTCTCGAAAAAAAAAAAAAAAAAAAAAAGTGGAAGGTAAGAACTGATTCCACAAAATTGTTCTCTGACCTTCACATATATGCTATGATAAGTGCTCTGCAAAATAATAATGATGACAAATAAAATTTAATGTTTTTTTAAGAGGTTACCACTTCTAACCATAAGATGATAGGATGCAAAACAATTCATTTTAAGCTGTATGATCTAAATTTCTTTACCTGTAAATTCAGCAACATTTACCTTACTGAGTGTTGCTCAATAAGGTTATTGAGGAACAAGATAAATAAAAGATATAAGACACTCCGTGTGATTCTGGTGGTCCATTATCATCTAGGTTTGTTTTCCATTTTTGAACTCTGAGCCCCAACTCATTAACATACCTGTAGCTCTACCCACATTTTCTCAAATGAACCAGTGTCCTCAGTGTTCTTCCACATAGTATTTCCCTCCACAATTTCTAAAATGCTTACCTGGCTGACTATCCCAACAAGTTTATTCTTTAAAAAGTATAATAAAGCTCCCAATTTTAAAATATTAATAAAAAAATTTAAATAACAAAAAAATTGTTTGAACTAACCAAAATGAAGAACAACAGAAAAAATAACTTTATGAACAGCAAAAGCTAAATAATTTCAAGTAGAAATCATACCTCAAACCAGCAGAGGGTGGGGCTCAGCTTTCTGACCGTCCATGCAGACTCCACCTTGGTTGTGGACAAAGGAGTGTCACCGTCAAAAGTCATTTGGAAATGAAGCAGATATATCCACTGGAATTAGTACATGAATTATACTAACCCATGCAAAATGATGTATTTATGAATGTAGAAAAATACTTGTATTGATGCAGAGACTAATAGAAGATATCTCTGTTCACCGTGCTTGGAATTTTATGGAATTAACCACTTCACTAATGAAGCACCAGAATACACAAACAAATAAGCAGGGGCACTCAAACAAAACTGAAGCAAAATGCTTGCTGCTTCTTCCTCTACTAAGTCACTCACTATTGAACTGCTGCCGGGTACCCGAAAACCCTGTAGAAACTGCCTTTCAGAGAATGCATGTGAGATTACCAGTGGTCCAGAGGCTTGAAAAGATGCAAGACTTCATGATTTTAAACATACAAGTAGAAGAAACATTGGTCAATTTTATCAAGTATAACATTTTCACTCATCAAGATTTAATATGTGGGGCTGGAGATATGGCTCAGTGGTCCAGAGTACTAGCTGCTCTTGTACAGGACCTGGGTTCATTTCCTAGCTCCCACACGGTGGCTTACAATCATCCACAACTCCAGTTCCAGGGTATCTGATGCCCTCTTCTGACCTCCCCAGGCACAAACATGGTTCACATACATATGTGCAGGCAAAGCCTCATATATATATAATATTTAACATCTTTCAAAAAATTTAAAAGACTCAATAACATGAAATGAAGAGCCTTTTTTGTCTAAGTAAACATTTTATCCACTTACGATATCTTTAAAAAATGACTTGAGGGGCTAGAGAGATGGCTTAATGGTTAAGAGAATTGACTGCCCTTCCAGAGGACCCAGGTTCAATTCCCAGCACCCACATGGCAGCTCAAAACTGTCTATAATTCCAGTTCCAGGTAGCCCGACACCCATGGCAAAACACCAATGCACATAAAAAATGAATAAATAAATAAAAAACAATTTGAAAACAAAGTATTTTCAGATAATTATATTCTTGACAACCCCAAGGTTATTCACTTAGATCATATGCAGACTGCAATAGTCACTTTAGAAAATTTCAGAATCTTGACAACAACAACAAAATGGCACCTCAAACTACTACTGATGCTACGATGACGTGTGAGGTAAGTCAATAAAATCATAGTGTATACACTGCAACTCAAAGTAAATCTTGTAACTGTGGTTATTACTAACTACTGGAATTATGGGACATCCCAATGATATAAATTATCTGTATAATCAAAAAGAAAAAGGAAAGTACGTAACAAGGCTAAAACTCTGAGCACATGTAATTATAAAGAGTGGGGCCACATTATCCAGAAAGCCTTTGGTTTTCCAGCATTTGTTTCTTTATTGATTCAAAGATTGAATAGATTGATTGAGGAATTGGTGATTGAACACACGGTTTTTAAAATACATGACATGACACATGGTTTCTTTACTAAAGATAAAAGCAGGTCTCTATTTATAGCTCAGGCTGGCTTTCATCTCTCAATCCTCTTGCCTCAACCTGAGATGAGTCTTTTAAACAACAAAAAGAAATACGATTCAAGTTTTGAAAACAATGGAACTTACATACAAATCTTTATAAGGACACATTCTGTATGCTAAGATCCTCTTCTGCAAAAGGCTTTACTCTGCATGTGATAAATGAAAGCTTGGAGAAAAAAACGTGAGTGTGGTAGTTGGTCCTTTGCCACTCTCTAGTGTCAAGTGAAACAGCCTTCCTTTCTACCCTTGGCTTTATTTCCTTACACTTCCCTGCTCTGCTATCTATCTAGTAGATCTACTGCCAAGAGAGAAGAGACAAGACCACAATTAGCATTAGACTTCATGTTAGTGCCCACTACCATCTCCTATGACCACCATAGGCACTTGTGCTGGGACAGCCCCTAAGTAATCTATCACAACAGGCTGTGTCTGCTCTGAACAGGTAGCTAACACAGTGGTGTACACTGACACACACAGACTTACATTGTGCTCTCCTTCAGTGACACGTATTTCATAGCAATAGGCCAGAAGGATGTCAACTAAACTGTAGTACACTTGACGGCGAGCTGTCTTGTCCAGCAGGTAAGACTTATTCACAAATTTTCGTAGCTGATATTTCTCCTCTTCTGAAAAAGATACTAGGAGAAAACACAGTTTTGAAAATTAAATATGCCATTCAGGTTCATCAAACCACCAGTGCAGAAGATTTGCCAAAATTGGAATTCTGAATATAGAAAGCAAAATCAAAGTTATTTATCCTTAATTCTACATATAAGGCAATTTCTTAAAGGAGGCTTTTCAAGCTTTATTAAGAGCCATGCCTTTGTTCAAACCTTCCAGACCTTTCCTTTCCCTCCTACATTACAATAGCAGTTTCCAACTTCACAAATCTTTTTCCTAAGGTTTATTCTTATTATTTTAAATTATGAGTATTGCATGTGGGTGAATGTTGGTATGTACATGTGAGTGCAGGAGGCCAGAGGTACCTCCAGGAACAGTCATTAAAGACAATTAGGAAGCACCTGACACAGATACTGACCAATCTGGGGGCCTTTTTGTCAAGTGAGGTTCCCTCTCTCAAAATGGCTCTAGCTTGTGTCAAGCTGACACAAAATTAGCCAGCACACGTTCCTACACATACTTCCCACCCTGCCGGGCAATACATTTAGCAGCCTTTCCCCATTTTTTTCCAGTTTAATGGATTTAAGTGACTGTGGTAAGGAGAATTCTGAGATGACCCCCAAAGAGTGGCATCGCTCCCTCTGTGGAACAGATCTTGTCACTGATTCTGTCCAACAGAATGCGACAAAGATGACAGGACAGTCACTGCCATGCTAACATGCAGTTACTGTCAGAGTAGAGCCAGGGTACTCCTGGGGTGAGGTGCCCTGTGAAAAGGCTATGTGGCAGGTACTTCTGGGACCTCCACAATCTGAACATTGCTCCATTTCAAAGCTGGCAAGAAAGTGGAGAAGAGAATTCTGTCAACAATAATATGAGCCTGGAGAAAAGAATGTAGCAACTAATACCCACTTTTATTTAAGAGATGGGCATATCTGGCTACTAAGCATGTCCAATCTTTTAACATTGCAAAATGATGCTGCCATGTCATGACAATCACCACGTCCAAGGACCACACAATCTAGTTACAAAAAAGATCATTCAAAGGTCTCATCATGTTTTGTGTAAGTTTATGTTTTTGTGTTTGGGCTGCATTCATAGCTCTCATCCCACAGGCCACAGGCTGGACACATCTGAGCTACCACAGTCATTCAAGGCCCCAAGCAGAGAACCCATCAGGTTGTATGGAGACTGTGAGAACACAAGCATGAGATAAGCTCTTCTTTCAGTTAGTGCCACTCTGCTAAACGGATGGCATTATTGCCTAGTTGTGTAGGCAAACTGGGTTTGCTTTGTGAACTGCCCATCAAACTGTGTTCTGTCCAATTTTTCCTACTGAACAGCTTGGCCTGTCGAATTTTTAAAAACTTTTTGTGAATTATAAATATAAATCCTTGGGTCAGCAAGATAGCTCAGCAGGTAAAAACACATGCTGATCATGGCCAAGGACAACCTGAGTTTGTTCCCAAGAACTCAATAAAGGGGGAAGGAGAAAACCAACTCCACAAAGTTGTTCTCTGACCTCCACACATGAGCCATGGAATACATAAACCCACACACAAGTAATAAACTGAATATATTAAATATAAATCCCAACCAAATTTCAAATCTGCTGACTGTTTGGGATATCTTTTGCCACAGAAACTGTTTTCATACATGCAGGCAAAGCACTAACACACATTTTAAAAAAATAGTAACTGTAAAATAATAATAATAGCAAACCTATCTGGAAGCCAGCTTTTCATGTTTCAAGACTTCACTTTATTCCAGATGAACAGTGAATCCCACAACACTGAACCACCAACTTCGTCAGACAGATCTGCTGCTTTTGTTACTAAAATTACTTCAAAGTATTTTTGTTTTTTGTCAACTGTTGCAAACACAGTATTTCCCCCACTTCCATCATTAAATACTTCATGATAAAAGAGAAAAAATATTTCTTTTTTTATATCAGCCACTTTACCAAATATTGACTACATATTCTAAAACAACACATTGAAATTCTTAAATGTTAATGATACAACCAAATGCTTTATTTACATGAAGACAAGCAAATAAGAGACTTCAGTTTCTAAGTTCCCTCTGATGCCTACAATTTAGGCCATCTATCATGCATCTCTTAATATCAAGTCTTTAAAGAAACCTATGTGTGCATGTGTGTATTTTATGGTGTGTGGAGATATGTGTATGTGTGTGGGTGTATTTGTGTGTGCATGCATGTGGAGGTCAGATGGTTGGCATCAGGCATTTTCCTCCATGCTTTCCTCTTGGTGAGCCTGGAGCTCAACAATTCTGCTTGTCTAGCTAGCCAGCTTGCTCTGGGGATCCCCTGTCTCTATTTCTAGGATTGTAGGTAGGTTACCACACCTACCTAGCATTGTATGTAGATGCTGGGGATCCAAATTCAGTACCTTCCACATACATGGTAAGCACTTTACCTACTGGGCTCTCTCTCCAGCCCCATCATGAAGTCAGTCTACAGTTAAAGAAAGATCATGTAACATGTTTTCTACTCAATCTCACACTAACACTATCAGTTCTCAATACTATACAAAGTAAAATAAACCCAACCCCAGCATAATCCGAAAGAGTAACTGCCAAAACCACAAACAATTCAGTTTCCAGTTCTTGTAAGCAAAACATGGCTGCATTAGCTACTTTTCTGTTACTATCATGAAACAACTTATAGAAGGAAGAGTTTATTTGGCTTATGGTTCTAGAGGGTGAGAGTCAATCATGGCAGAGAGGTGGGGAGGTATGGCAGCAAGTGGGGGCAAGCGTGGCAACAGAACAGGACAATGAGAGCTCATAGTTCAACCACAAGTACCAAGCAAAGAGAAACAACTAGAAGTGGGGTGAGGTTATAAAACTCAAAAGCCTACCCCTAAGTACTCCTTTAGCAAGGTCACACCTCCTCAATCTCCCCAAACAACTCCACCAAGTAGGAACCAAGTGTTCATACATCCAATCCTACAGGGACATTTCTCATTCAAATCCCCAGCATACACTAATGGCCATAACTAAGTACAAAACACGTTTAGTTCAACTTCAAAAGTCCCCAGTTGCCGGGCGGTGGTGGCGCACGCCTTTAATCCCAGCACTCGGGAGGCAGAGCCAGGCGGATCTCTGTGAGTTCGAGGCCAGCCTGGGCTACCAAGTGAGTTCCAGGAGAGGCGCAAAGCTACACAGAGAAACCCTGTCTCGAAAAACCAAAAAAAAAAAAAAAAAAAAAAAAAAAAAGCCCCCAGTCTTTCACAGTCTCAACACTGTTCAAAAGTCCAAGGGCAGCCAGGAGGTGGTGGCACACGCCTTTAATCCCAGCACTTGGGAGGCAGAAGCAGGCAGATCTCTCTGAGTTCGAGGCCAGCCTGGGCTACAAAGTGAGTTCCAGGACAGCCAAGGCTACACAGAGAAACCCTGTCACAGAAAAAAAAAGTCCAAGGGCTCGTCTGAGACTCGAGGCAATCTCTTACTTGTAACCCCTGTAAAATCAAAAAGCAAATTACATACTTCCAACATACAATGGCGCAGAACATGCATTACCATCCCAAAAGAGAGGAATAAAGGCAGTGAGAAATATCAGACCAAAGCAAGGCTGAAACCCAGCAGGACAAACTCCAAATCCTGTAGGTCCATGTCTAGTGTTAAAGGGCTGAGATGGCTCTGTCCCTCCAGATTTGCTGCCTGCAATATATATATATATCTCCTCCCTTGGGTTATGTCTTTTTCCTTTTCAATTGCTGTGACAAAACACCATGACAAAGACAAAATACAGAAGAAAGCATTTACTTGAACTTATCTTCAGAGGATTAGAGTCAAAGATGGCGAAGCAAAGGCATGGCGGCAGGAGAGCTGAGAGCTCACCACTTGATCTGTGAGCAGAGGCAGTGAGAGCCGACCAGGAACGACGCCAATCTTTGGGACTTCCAAAGCCCACTCCTAGTGACACACCCACTCCCTCACACTTCCTAAACCTTCCCAAACAACTGCAGCAACGGGGGGCCAAGCATTCAAACCTCTGAGCCTATGCGGGCTGCTCTCACTCAAACCTCCACAGGCTGCTTTTCACCAGCATGATGCTCTCCATGGCAGACAGACCAGGCTGGCACCTCTCAACATCCTGGGTGCTCTATCCCAACCCAGGCATCCATTTCACAGCTTCGCACAATGTCCTCTACAGTTCTGCAGGGACTCCCCTGTCACACGTTGCCTGGCCTCAATGGTTCTCCAAAACCACATAAGCAGAATCCATGATTCCCCCTCACTCTTCTTCTATCCTCCATGCCATCAAAGCCAGCACGACATGGATGACACTGCTAAGTGTGGCTATCTCCAAATAAAAGTGCAGCTGATCTCTCATCTTACAGAGTAGTGCTTTTGTTCCATCTCCTATCAGTCACTTTGAAATTCACTCCAAAGTTTCTCATCCCACTAGCAGAGGAGCTCTGCTTCCACTTCTGGTGCTTCATATAAAAATGATATCAGAGGCTGGAGAGATGGCTCAGTGGTTAAGAGCACTGACTGTTCTTCCAGAGGTCCTGAGTTCAACTCCCAGCAACCACATGGTGGCTCTCAACCATCTGTAATGAGATCTGGCGTTTATAATAAATAGCTAAATCTTTAAAAAAAAAAAATGATATCAAAATGACTTGCATCGTACAAGACAGGCTAACCTGCTGTGATGAAGAGCCGCCAATGGCAGAAGAACAATAGCTTATGGAAAACATGTTTCCCTCACTCCGCTACCCTGAGAAAGGGACAAGGGCCCGGTGGACATCGGCCTCCCTGGTATATGACTTCTTTCTATACACATCCAAGATGGCTGCTCTGGGTTTGTATCATTTTCTAAATGGTGAGAAAGAAGAAAGTTGGAGGAGGATGGCAAGCATCTTCTTCCTAAAGAAGGGATCCAGAAAGTATACATATCACTACCCATCATGTCCCTCCAGCCAGTACTGGAACACATGGTCACGTCCAGCTTCAAGTAAAGAAAGGAAACCCAGTCACTAGCAGAGTG